GCAAGTGGCCTGGGGGGAAAGTGCAGGTCCTGGGTGTGGATCTTGGGCTGGTGGGGCGGGAGGGGATAGGAAGAGAGTGTGGCTTGGGTGAGGTCAGCTGTGGGCTGGCTGGTCACCTTTAGCTGCCTCTTCTGTCCTGCGGGTTCTTTCAGGAGGAAGCTGGCATGATTTGTGCCTGCTCTGTACCAAGTCCAATGATGGATGCTCAAATAACTTGTTCTCCTGCTCCCCTTTGCCCCCTTACTAAACAAATATAATAAAGCAAATACACAATAATCGTAGAAAGTTGAGATGCTTCAAAAAGATACCATACTACCGCGCAGATAATTAACTAACATCTTAGTGTAGACACATTGAAGTGGCTTTGGCTATATACATACATTAGTATAATAGTCTGGCTTTTGTAATATTCTATAAATGCCTCCTCTTCTAGAATTTATGGGCACCTCTGTAGGTCAAATATATTTTATAATTATCCATAGATGGAGGTACTAGAATTTAACCAAACTCTCCCCCACACACCTCACAAAAACAAAAGAAAACAAAACCAAATCTGTTGCCGTTGAGTCGATTCTGACTCATAGCAACCCTATAGGACAGAGTAGAACTGCCCCATAGGATTTCCAAGGAGCACTGGTGGATTCAAACTGCCAACCTTTTGGTTAGCCAAGCTCTTAACCACTGTACCACCCGGGCTCCAGAATTTAAACAGTACCTCGTAATGGATATTTTTGTTCTTCAATTATTTTCTCCTGAATCCTGCTAGGTAACAACCTTGCTGCTCCTGCCCCCAGCCCCCTTCCCCCACTTAGCAGATGAAGACAGACTTGCTTAAAGGAATAATCTGGCTTTGGGCTCCGCTAGGGACTGGGAAGGGATGGTGTCCTTCCTCCACGCAAGGAAGGGAGGAAGATCCCAGTTGTAACAGTTTCCCTTCCACAGAGTTTCCAGGCCAAGGGGAGACCCACATGGTGGTTATAGGGCCACTGAAGGTCAAGAAGCCACCAATATCATGGTTTAAGGGTAGGCATGGGACTAGGGGTCAGCCAAGGCCCTAAAAGGACTTGGGTCACTCCTGCTGTCCATGCTCATGGATAGTTGTTCGTCCTGACCACTGCCCTGTTGTCATCTCCAGCCACGCCCCTGCCTCCCACGTGCTCCTAGCTTTTCTTGTTATGCCTTGGTGAATGACTGGACTCCCGGTCAGCTCTAGCTGTCCGGCACCACCAGTGCTACTGGCCCCCTTCATTCCCTCCCAGCCTCCTGTAGGACACTGAAGGATCTGCTTGTGGCCATACTAGCCTTCACGTGTGGCACTGAGCTGCTAACCCTGCTCCTGTTGGCCCTGAGGGTAGTGCTCCAGGGCTGGCTGCCCTGCTCTCTTGGCAGCCTGTAGGGTAGGCTGAGGGAGCACACCAGCAGCACGGAGGACCTGGAGATGGAATCAGTACACAGGGGAGTGGAGGGACCCTTGTCTGAGGAGGGGAGTGAGGGAGCGACTCAGTCTGTCTCAGAGGAAGACTTGGAGACAGTGGCTCCCTTGGAAGACTACTAAACCGTCCCTTTTATTCTTATAATAAAGCTTTCTATTTCCCTAGTGGTTGGGCCTGGTCTTACTTTTCTCTGCACTTGTCTTGGTCAGTACTATGTGTCAGAGGACAAGCTGGCCTCTTAACTGTCTGACTGACTGTGGATTCCCAGAGAAGCCCCACAGCTGTGGGCTTCTGGGAAAGGCAAAATGCAGGTCTGGGGCTTAATTCACCTGTCAGGAGTTGACTCATTCCCATCAGTTGCCCTTCCCTGGTGTCTGCACGGTGGAGGGGAGAGGGAGGCAGCCTTTTGGTAGGTGAGGTGCAGGTAGGGCCTGTGGCCACCTAGCACCTTAGCTGTTGCATTTGATATCTCATATGGAAACAATCTGAGGCCACCCACCATCTTTTACCTCCCAAGGGTAGCTGAGGCCCCCCCCCTCCTCAACACTCTTTGCATTTCTAGGCTGAGTCCTTACTTCCCTTCACAGCCTGTAGGGATCTACAGCCTTGGTCTCCTCACCCCTATACTGCTGCTGACCACTGCTGGAGTGGGGAGCCCATCAGCCAGGGCCACAAAGTGGGTCTCTTCCCTTCCCACATGCCTCCTCCCAGACATTCAGAATTGGACTTGGAGCCTTGGTGCTGGGGAGGGTCGCTTTCCACCAACTCTGGTTATGGAGTAGGGGCTGGTCCCCCACCCCACCATGGATAGGAGTCAGCAGATGCTGAGGGGCACTTTCTAGTTCTCAGCTCCAGCCCTGGCTTTGGGCTCCCTGCATGGCCTCTGCCTCCTGGTACCAAGTTCTCCCCTGCTCACAGCAGGGTTCTGTTAGCTGCAACAGGAGCTCTCACAGATAGGGCATCCAACAGCACCGCTCGTGGCATCCTTGGCCCAAAGGACCCTCCACCTTATCCTTCAGCCTGCCGCCACATGGCAGCCTTTTCCTCAGTGGGCCAGGATGAGCCGCCCTGTCCCTCCACGCTGCACCACTGACGGCCAGTTGTCTTCTCCCAAGGCTCCCAAAACATGCCTGTCTCAAATTGTGGGTGCTGTCACCATCCTCCAAGAGAGTCCTCCTTGTCCCCTCTCACTCCCTCACCCCCCTCTTATAGGGTTGCCAGAGGAAATACAGGACGCCCAGTTAAATTTGGATTTCTCATAATAAATAATTTTTTAGTACCAGTTGTCCCAGATATTGCATAAGTGTCCTGACAACCCTCTTCCTCCTCCCTCCTCTTCCCCTTTTCCCTTCGCTCCCCCTCCCCCTAGCCCGGGAGGCAGTCATGTTCCTACAGGAATGGGAATTAGTGGTAGAGGTGATGGGGGGCGGGGTGGCCTTAGCTCCGGTCCTGTTTCTGCTACTCATGGGCTGAAGAAAACAAGGCCAGTGTAGATGGGAAATTCTCACAGTACTGCATGTTTAAGTGATTTGCTTAGTGTCAGGCCTCATACTCTGCCCACCGCTCACACCCAGTGGGCCCAGCCTGCTGCTTGTCGCACAGAGCCTCTCGTGGCACCAGCTATGGCCTTTGGTTCCCACCCACCCACATTCTCTGATGTAATTTGGCTCTTCTCTGGCAAGAGTTGTGTCAGGACCTGGGACTCAAGCCAGGATTTCTGTGTCCCCATCTCAGAGTGGGAAGTTGGGACGGGAGCTCTGGAGTCCTGGCCTCTGTCCCTCGTCTACCCAGGGTTGTGATGGGTATCAGTGGGTTGTGCTTCACAGAGACTATGTAATCTGTGGACAGGGTTCTGGGCTTTTCTAACCCAATTTGATCCCATATGGGGTCCCAGCTGGACTGGGTCGCCTGTCCAGCTTTGCTGTCAGCATCCTTCGACAATCTGCTGAAGTATTGTGGGTCTCCATTGCCTCAGCCCACAAACAAGGACTGGAGAGTGATACCCAGAACACTTATCCTGGAAGATCTAGGACAAATAAGTCACTTCTTCTCTCCTTCTTTGTAAAAGTTGGATCTTAGAAGGTGGTATTGTAGGCAATTAAGAGCAGTGTTTTTGGAGTAAACAAACAAAAACAAACCCATTGCTGTTGAGTCGATTCCAACTCATAGCGACCATATAAGAAAAGACAATAAAAACTCAGACCCTAGATAGGCCATCTAAGAGCTGTGTGATGTTGGGTGAGTGATTTCACCTCTCTGAGCCTCAATTTTCTTAAAAATGGTCTCAGGGCCAGAAGAACTGGATGGTGCCAGGCTACCATTACTGAGCATTTTGACAGATATTATAGAAGAATCTTGATCAAAAGGGGAAAAAATTCAGAACAGAATTACAAATTTTCATGGAACCCGGATTTTTTGGAGCCATAGAGGCTGGATTAACCCCCAAAACTATTGTCCTGAAATAATCTTTAAACCTTAAACCAAAAAATATCCCCCGACATCTTCTTAAAACCAAACAATAGTTTAGCTTAACTAGTAAAGAATGTCTGCCTTGAGCATTGTGCTCTTTTAAAATCTATCTCTATGGGATCAAATTGACAACAGCAACTCAAAAGATTAGATAGGAGACTTAGGGGTCAGTGAGTTTATGCTAATGGAGGAGGAATAACTCAGAAAAGGAGGGTGAGAATGGTTGCATAACTCGAGGAATGTAGTCAATGTCACTTAAATGTACGTGTAGAAACTTCAATTGGTGTATGTTTTTGCTGTGTATATTCTTAACAACAACAACAATAACAAAAATAATTGAAAAACAAAACAAACAAACAAACAAACAAAAAAAAAAACCAAACAAGTGGTCTCAGAGGTTAGTGTGAGAGTGGAATGAGGTAAACTCATCAAGCACTTGGGCCAAGTGTCTAGCATACAGAGATCACTCACGAAATGATAGCTGTGATTTTTATTATTATTGCCAAGTGGCCACTAGAGCCAGATGTGACTTCCTTTGCTTCAAGGAGTTTCTTGAATTTGCTTAAAACAAGCTGTGAGCTTCAAAGGAAAGGAGTGAGGGTGAGAATGATGGGTGGGGAAAGCTGTGTGTCCTGAGTCAGATCAAGCCTGATGCAGGATCCATCAGAGGGACATGGCTTTTGTGGCTGGGACCCCCCCAAGAGGCAGCCACTGCCAGAAATCAAGGTGGGAGTAGGGGAGCTGGGTCACCTGGGGTTGCCTCGTTCCTGCCACGCTGCTCCCCTGTCCAAGGTGCTGAAATCTGCCTCAGGCCCAGCCTCTTCCTTGTCATGCATACCCATGAACCACCTGCTTCCTACCTCCTCCTTTCAACTTCACAAGTATATACTGAGCATGATGGGGCAATGGTTAAGAGCTCAGCTGCTACCTGAAAGGTTAGCGGTTTGAACCCACCCAGCCACTCTACAGGAGAAAGACCTGGAGATCTACTCATGGTGATCTGCTCCTGTAAAGATTACAGCCTAGAAAACCCTATGGGGCAGTACTACTGTGTCACATGGAGTCCCTGTGAGTTGAAATCCATTCAGTGGCACCCAACAACAACATACAGGGAGGGGAAATAAAAAAGAATTTAAATAGATCTCCAACCCAGGGAGCTCAGAGCTTATAGGGAAGATTATTCAAGCACACACAAATGCCTTAAGAGAGCTGAGGACAAAGGGTAGGGGGTTCATTTTCCTATTTCTTGGGGGCTCAGTGACATCCCACTTCCCACCTTCACCCCTGCCTTCTTTCTCTTCTGCAACTTTGGCACCCTCCCAGACTGTGCCTCTCATACCTTTTCTGATCTGACCACAGCATACGGATCTTCCACAAGGCAGCCCCTTCTCTAATGTCACCAGGTCTGGGAAGACTAATAATCAGTTACTGGGGAGGGGGGATATAGAGAGAGAAAGCAGAGGGGTGGAATCTCTGATAACTGAAGGAGCCGTCTAGACGGGGGTGAGCTCCTTGTCGTATTTCTGCATGCCCTCGTCTGGGAGCAGCACTTCCACTGTGAAGCTGACCTTCTTGGTGTGAACAAAGCTATAGGTGTTGTCAAAGCACAGGACATCTGGGGGAACAGATGGACAGATGAGTAGTTGAACCTGGCTTCACACTCCCTGCATCTCCACCCCAGCCACAGGGGAGGGAGGACAGGCTTGTGTTCCCACCGGCTTTGTTTGCCAAGTTTTCACCAGTCCTGCTCCCTCCCATGGAAACTGACCATTCCCCCACACACACCCCAAGCAGGGCCTGTAAACAGACACTGACCTCCTCCTGGCACCATGCCCAGGTTGGCTTTATTTGCACCAACTGGCAATAGGACAATGGCGATTGAATCTCATTGTCTACATACCTGGAAGCTCACATAATGGGGATGTGGGGGAGGGAGGGAACTGGAACTATCAGAGGCCTCTTGGCCCCCTTGGACAAAGTGGGGTGCTGGGTCAGGCCTACTGCACACCCTCTGCCTCCTCACAACCCACCCTAAGAGGCAGAGGTTATAACCCACATTCACAGGTAAGCAACCCAAGGCTCCAGACTGGTAAGACATTGGTGGTGCAAATGGCTAACAAGCTAGGCTGCTAACGAAAAGGATGGAGGTTTGAGTCAACCCAGAGGTACCTAGGAAGAAAAACCTGGTGCTCTATGTCCAAAAATCAGACATCAAAAACCCTGTGGGGCACAGCTCTGATACACATGGGATTGTCAAACTAGAGTCAACTTGACAACAACTGGGTTTTATTGCAGCTACCGGAAGCTGAGGTGGGGCCCTAACACAATACCAAGCTGCTAACTGTGTAGCTCTGGACACGTTGCTTTACTTCTCAGAGCCCCAGTTTCCTCATGGGGGACAATTGTTGTTAGTTGCTCTGACTCATGGTGACCCATGTGTGCAGAGTAGAACTGCTCCATAGGGTTGTCAAGCAGATCACCAGTCCTTTCTTCTGAGGTGCCTCTGGGTGGCTTTGAACTGCCAGCCTTTTGGCTAGTAGTTGAGTGCGTAACTGTTTGTGCCACCCCGGGGCTCTATGGAGAAAATTACACTTGCCCCATTGTCCTTTATCTGTGTCCTGTGACCTGAGTGCTCTCAAACCCTTTGGGGCCTGTGTGTCTGCGTTGTCTCTGACTCTTGGCATACAGGAAGCACTCACAGGTGTGAACTGAATGAGTGTCCATGTGAATGAGTGACATTAATCTAGGCTGTGTGTCCCTGGGAGAGTCACTGTCTGTCTGTTCCTCCTCTAAACTGTGGGACAGTTATCTCCAGCCTTCTGATGCCAGGGCCCAGCAGGACAGACTTACAGATGCCAGCTTCCGAGCAGGTAAGGCTCCCATCCTCGGGCACCATGTGGGCATTGTAGCGCTGGCTGGGCAGCACCTCCGTCATCTCGCCTGCTCGCTGCTGCTCCCCCATCTTAGCCTTCAGGAAAATCCCAAAGCCAATGTCTGCACCATCTGATGAGAACTGCCACCTGTGGGGTTTGGTGCAGGGTACAGTTTCTGCTCAGCCCAACAGGTCCTCCAGGGGCTGGGGCCCAGGCAGGGCAGGGATGGTGGCCTGTCCCTACCTGAGGACACATCCTGGGAACAGTATCTCGTATTCCACCTGGTGCGAGGAGCCACGGCTGATCTGCACTGAGTGCTCATACTGAGTCTTCACCTGATCCCTCACGTACATGGACTTGGGGATCTCCCCGCCATAGTTGATCTGCAAATATAAGGAGGGATGGACTTGCCCCTCCATGGCCATCATTCATGCTCTTTCTCCTGTCTGAGACACTTTCATCCTCTCCAAGAAATATCCTGCTCATCCTGTTCCCCTTACCTCTTCTGGGAAGCCAGCCCTACCCTCTAGGCTGGGCTGAGGCCTCCTCTGGGCCCTCACAGGTCCCCAGCGTCCTCTTTCAGTTCATCCCTCTGGGTCAACATTCTCTCATTCCTCAGAGAGTCCCAGATGGAGCAAGAGAAAGGTGGGGTGCAGAACTCAAATTCTAGTAAGAAGACCAGACTTAATGGTCTGACTGAGACTGGAGGAAGCCCGGAAATCATGGCCCCCAGATTCTCTATCAGCCCAGAACTAAAACAATTTCCGAGGCCAACTCTTCAGACAGGGATTGGACTGGACTATGGGACATAAAGTGATACTCGTGAGGAGTGTGCCTCTTAGCTCAAGTAGATACAAGAGACTAAACGGGCAGCTTCTGTCCGGAGGTGAGATGGGAAGGCAGAGGGTTAGGAGCTGGCTGAATGGGGAATCAGGGGTGGAAAGGAGGAGTGTGCTGTCACAGTATGGGGAGAGCAAATTACAGTCCTATAACAATGTATGTATAAATTTTTGTATGGGAAAAAAAAACAAAACAAAACAAAACAAACATTCCATCATTCCTTGTTTGCCTGCACAGCTGCTGAGAGCTACAGGAGGGCAGAGCCGGGATTGTCTTGCTCAGTATCTGGCTCACAGGGGTCCCTCCACAGATGTTTGTGGAATGAATGCAATGAATTCATGGGTGGGAAGGAATCCAGCTCCACTCCCCTGTCCTGGGGTTCTTTGTACCTTGGTTAAACATTTGGGGTTTCCATCTGGGTCAGTCAGGGTTCCCCCAAACTGGGCAGGCAGTTCCTCGGGACTGATGAGTTTCAGCAAACCTTCCTTCCAGTTGTCTGCGGGCAAGGAGAATGAACAGAGATCATCAGACATGGAGGGGACCCATCAGTTCCCCACACCCTACCAGGAAAAGCCCCACAGAGGCGGGACTACCAGGGCCAATTTATCAGCATCCTCGGCCTCAAGCTACAGGAACTGTCTTTCCCAGACTCATCTTTTTTTTTTCAATTGAACTTTAGATGAAGGTTTACAGAACAAACTAGCTTCTCATTAAACAGTTAGTACATATATTGTTTTATGACATTGGTTAACAGCCCCATGACATGTTCGTACTCTCCCTTCCCAACCTCTGGTTGCCTATTACTAGACTTCCTGTCCCATCCTGCCTTCTAGTCCTTGCCCCTGGTCCAGCCTCATCTTGCTATAGAAACGTATTTCTCCCTAACTGAAGGTTTTCACATTCTTTTTTTTTAATTGTAGTAAATTATATATACATATATGTAATTATACACATACACATATATAATAAAACATTTGTCTTTTCAACATTTTTGCATGTTCAATTCAGTGACATTAATTACATTCATCATGCTCTGCAACCATCACCAATATCTTCGTCTAAATTTTTCCTTCAGAAACTCAGTGCTCCCTGAGGATTTGCATATTCTTGAGGGTCTCCCAGTCATCAGTTGTAAAGATAAGAGTTTGTCTAATTGACTCAAGGAGATTGAAGACCCAGTGAGGTCAAGGGTCTTGCTGATGTCACAGAGTGAGTAAGTGGCATACCCAAGTCAGACCTCTTGGTGGGGGATGGATAACCCTGGGCCTTTGGCTGGATACTCCGCTCATGTAATCACCACGACCATAATGCCCATTATAGTACTGTTCTTTATACCCTACGCAAAGCTCTAAGAGTTCTGGATACTGGAATGTTTACCATGTCCCCAAGCCCGTGGCCAGTCCAGGCTACCTACCCTACCCCGTGGCCATGGGAGATTCCTCGCCTCCAGTGGGATACGGGTGAAGACCACAATGCCTGGCATACCAGGGCCAAATGTACAGGGCCCCGTGGGACACCATGTGGGTCGTAGGCTTTGCACTTGGGTCCTGGAGTGTGGCAGTAACCCACACTGCTCCCAGATTTGGGGAGCTTAGAAGGCAGGGACCTAGGCCTCTCAAACCAGGCTACCTTGTGATCCATCAAGCTCCCCATCCCAGTGGAGCTGGACAGTGGCAGAGGCTCAGGTACCAGGAAAAGAGAGAAATTAGAGATTTTTAAGATTCTCCCCCTCATTCCTCAGATACTCTGATTCTATGGTCTGACCATTCTTTTTGGGAGAATTTACCCTACAAGCATAGGATCATTGGTTTGGGTTTAAGAACTATTTCTCTTCTCTTTCTTTTGTTCTTTTTCCTTCTCTGTCACTTTTAACACAATTTTTCCTACTTGTAAAATTAACACATACTTATTGTATAAAATTTAGAACATACAGAAAAATACTAATAATAAGTATTAAAACCACCTGATTTCTCTTCATTTACAAATCATTTTGTTGTATTTCCTTCTAGAAATATATATTTGTTTTTACAAAAATAAAATTATGCTGTCCACATCACTTTATAATCTATTATTTTTACTTAATGACATTTTTCATCACATTAAATATTCACCCACAACACAATTTTTCATGGCTGTCCCCAAATTCATCAAATGGATACAATGTGATTTCCTTATCCAGTCCCTTCTTATTGGGCCTCCCTCCTCTTCATAGCTCCTCTTTCTACTCTTCTTCCCCATCCTCTTCAGCCCAGGTTTCCATTACTGAGGTAATGAGTATTGAAAGGAAACTGAGGTCCATAGACCAGAGGTTGCCTAGCAACCAAACAGAAACTGATAATGAGGCAAGTGTGGAGACTTTAGTCACCAAAGGGTTATGGCAGGGAATAAAGCATGGGTAGCTGGATAAACTCTATAGTGTAAGACCAACCTCACTTTTGGGTAGGAGGAGGCTCTGACTCTAAGTGATGGGTAGAGTTCTGGATGGGGTGATGGACAAACCTCACTCCAAAGCTCATGCATGGAACTCAGAGGATGGTGCTGGAACTACTTACTACCAAGCACTATGATTTTCCTGCGGGTGTCTTCACTCAAGAAGGGCTTCATGAGATTGTAGCCCACAGGGAACAGTTTGGTGGCTGGAGAGACACAAACAAGGATAATGGGGAGAAAATAATTCCATTGGGCCACTCCCATAAGTTGTAACCAGAGATATGGCATAGTCATGAGCAATGCTGGCCAGTTCCAATGCCCTGCACCCACCCAACCAAACAACTAACCAACCAATTTGCCAAATCAGCCAACAATCAGCCAACCAACCAACCAACCAACCATCCAACAAATCATCCAACCTGTCAACTTACCAACAAATAATCCAATCAATCAAACTGCTGATCAGCCACCTAATCAGCCAGCTAGAAAATCAGCTAATCTACCAGTCAATCAACTAGCTACCCAACATACCAGACAACCAGCCAGCCAATTCACCTTCTAACTAGCCAACCAATCATCTAACCAACCAATCATCTAACCCACTAAATAGCTAAACAATTACCCAAAAATCAGCCAACTAGAAAACTAGTCAACTGAAGAATCAGCTAACCAGCCAATTAACTTCCTTCTCTAGCCAGTCAATTATCCAAACAGCCAGAGAGCCAACCATCCAAGATCCAGCCAAAAAACAAGCCAGCAGCTCAACTAATTTGGCAACCAGTCACCCAATGGACCAACCAACCAGCCAACCAACAAACATCCATCCATCTACCCACCCACCCAAACAACAACCACCCAAATACTTAAATATATATTAAGCATCCACCATGGCCCCAGACCCATGGAGGATACAACAGAAGTGGAGAATTAGAGCCCTGGTCTTCAAGAAGCAGACAATCCAGCTAGGAAACACTATGAACACACATAAGACAACTGGAGGTCCCCACAAAGCAGAAAACAGGAAAGGCAACATTGGACTGCATATCTGCCAGTGCTGGAGGAAGTCTGGGGAGAAAGAGATCAGCATAGGCAGCAGAAGTGAGGAGGGATTCCTGGAAGAGCTGGGGTCAGAGTTGGCTCCTCTTGCAGTAAGGTCAACTATAGCAGTTAACACTTATCAAGAGCTTACTCTATGCATGTGCTCTAAGTGAGTTGCATGCACCCAAGCACCAACTTGCCTCACAGCAACCTTGGGAAAAAGGCACAATTTTCATCCCCATTGTACAGACGAGAAAACAAGGGCAAAGGAGAGCAAAGTCACTTGCCACACACCTTTCACGATGAGCATGAACTTCAGGATCTCTGGGTAATTCTCTTCAAGGAGACCAAAGAACTAGGGAACCAAGAGAGACCCCATCAGAGCCCACACCTCATTTGCTATCCTCCATTTCCTCTGCAACTTCCTCTCTGGAGAGGAGGGCTGTGGAAGGTTTCCCTTCTTGCCATCACCCCTGCTGGCCACTGGAGAGCACCATCTCCCCTCAGACCATTACGATCACAACCTAATAATAATCACATAATAATCTCCATTGTTAGAGTAAATGTTGTAGTTATGATAGTATAGTAATAGTAATAATAATGACTACTGTTTATTAAATGCTCACTATTTGCCAATCATTGTGTATATACTTTACATATCAACTCACTGAAGTATCCCTATATCCCTCTGAGATGCAGACTAATGTTATCCCCATTTTGTAGATGAGGAAAAGGAAGCATTGAAGGGCGAAGTGACTTGCTTGAGTCACAGAGTTGGGGATGACAGGGCTGGGAAGGGTTTGGCAGAGGCTGGCCAAAGAGGACTCAGTAGTGTTGTTGTGAAGCCTGTTCTGTGGGATCTTATAGGAAACACTCTAAGGCCCTTTTGGTCCTGAGCAGCTGTGATGGGGCTTAGACAGGGCCCACCTTTTACTAAATCCTGGCTCTGAGTAGGCAGTAAAGACACAGAAGACTAAGCTGGTCATCAAAATAAGTGGGAGAACACCCACGGGCCTTTTCCTCACCTGCTGGTACACTTCCACCAGAGGTTTCCAGAAGTGCTTCAAGCCCAGGCCCTCACAGTCAAATATCATTACGATGGTCTCAATCTTCCTCCCGAGCTGTGAGGATGAGAACAAGTCATGGTTCTTGGGTTTAGGATCAGGCTCAGAACTTGACAGATGGTGACCCAAGCACATCACCTCTCAGGGATTCTTCTAGCCCCCACCCCCAACTCTGTCCTTATAGGAGGGAGTGGACAAAACAGAGAATGCATTTCCTCATCCATCCATCCATCCATCCATCCACTCATGCATTTATCCATCAATTCACCATCAATCCATTTACCCATCCATCCATTTATATGGCCAACTATCCATTTATCCCCCCATTTGTCCAACCAATATTTATTAAGTACTTATTTTGTGCCCAAAACAGGGAGTATAATGTGTAATCCTCAAAAATCCATAGTTCTTGTCCTTAAAGAGTTTACAGCCTGGTTGGAGAGATTAGAAAGCAACAGGTCATCACAGTCTGTGATAACTGCTGAGGTAGGACAGCACAAGGGCTGTGGGAACAGAGAAGAGGGGTGCTTAACCCAGACAGGAGAGTTAGAGAAGGTGACATCTAAGCTTGAGACCTAACCGGTAAATAGGAGAGAGCCAAGTGAAGTTATGCGAGGCCAGTGTGGATGGTGGGGGTAGGGTGATCCAGGTAGAAGGAAGAGCAAGTACAAAAACTCAGAGGAAATAACAAGAAACACACATTAGGTCTTGTGTGTTAAGCCATTTACTTGCATTAACTTATTTAATCTTCGCAATAATTATTTACTATTATCTCTGATTGTAGGTGAGGAAACTGAGGCTCAGAGAGGTGAAGTGACTTTCCAAGACCACACATTAATTGGCAGAGCTGGGATTTGACCCAACAAACACACCCCAGGCAGATCCCACCCTCCTCCCACCTTCTGCTTTGCCTGGGCCTTACCCGCTCGGTCTGCAGGTCACACTCGTGCAGGATACGCTCACAGTCCCTCATCCTGGTCTTGAGCAGGTCCTGCTTGGTGACAGAGAAGAGCAGCCCCTTGGGGTCGAGCGGCCCGATGATGTCGTACCACACAGGACAGCCATCGCGGTCGTAGCCGCATAGGCCCCCAGGCATGTACTTCTGGATCACCTGGGCTTGGAAAGACGCATAGAACTCGGCATGATGCACCTCCCTGGAGACCCTCAAACCAGGCTGTCTTGGGGAGGGTGAGCCTATGCACCATGTACAAAGCACTGTCCTCCCCTGGAGGATTGTGCTGTTGTCCCAGGTGACACACCCAAGGGTCCCATGGGGGAGAGCCTTGCTCACAGTGGGCAAATGCCAAGGCCAAGGCTCAGGTCAGACCAGGATCTCAGCCTCTGGGCTCCTTAGTTCAGCCTCCAACGTTTCCCATGTCCTTTTCAACTGAGGGGGGTTGGGCTTAATGATGAAGAACTTGAATTCTGAAGGTCAATAGACCTGGTTCAAATAAAGATTCTGCAGCTGTGTGTCCTTGGGCAAGTGATGTCACCTCTCTGAGCCTCATTGCCTCTCCTCTTTTATAAAATAGTTTGGATAGTCCCTCCTTCATAGGACTATTGGGGAAACTCCCTGAGATAATGTTGGCACAGCATAGCGCCCAGCCCGGAGCACATGCCCCACAGATGAAACTGTCATCATTACTAAGATGCCAGTAGTGGGACTGTCATTACCAATGCCCTGGTGAAATGAATTTCTTTCCCAGCCAGACAGGATGCTTCGGGCAAGGTTCTATGGGAGAGAGGTACAGAGGTGCAGCCTAACTGTAGTAGTTAAGAGCCTGAGTATGGGAATCAGACAGGCCTCAGCTGAAATCCCAGCCTCACCTTGGGGCTGTGAGACTTTGGGCCAGCTGCTTAAACTTTGCTGGGCATCAGTTTTCTAATCTGTAAGATGGGGACGATAGTATCCACCTCATAGAGTCGCAATGATTAAATGAGCTCATGCAGGTAGAGACTTAACCCAGACACAGACCTTGTAAGCCCCCAGGGAATTTTCATTATTATTATTATTATTATTATTATTATTATAGGAGAGATGCCTACATCCCAGGGGTTCCATGCCCTTCACTCATCGTCCCCCAGTGACCCAGACGCTGCTTGGGTGGTATGTCATGAAAGATTGGGGTGTGTATGGTGTTGGCCTCACCTCTGGAGGCTGCCAATCAAGGATGTGGTCAATGTCCATGGTCTTCCGAAACTCCATGTACTGGAAGGGAAATGTATGGTAAGACCCTTCTGGGCTCCCAGCACCCCTAAGGAGGGGATGGAGGTAGGGACTTGAGGAGTGGATTGTCCCCCATGAAACCTCTCCCCAAATCTCCAGGGTGGGTGAGTCTCACCTTGCGGAGCATGGCTCCTGATTTCTGCAGGTCAAAGTTCCGAGCTGCGGAAAGATGGAAGGAAGCCATGAAGAGGAAAGAGGCTGTGCTGTAGCTAACTTACTTTACTCGTGGGCAGTGGGAGATATGGAGAGCTCTGGGGTACCCTGCGGGAACCTCCCTTTCCTGCCGTCTACCTTCTCCCGGACCTGGACATATGAATCAAGGTGATGTGGTCAGATCCAAGGAACATGGGTCATTTGGGAGCAATTGGGACCAGGTCCCTCTTGCTGCCCTCTCACCTGACTTCCTCCATCTCTGCCCTCACCTCGGAGCCAGCGCAGAAGGAAGTAGTCATCAGGGTTGGGAAGGGCAAGTAGCATGTCCTGGACATTTTCTCGGAACTGGGAAGAGAGAGGCTGAGCCTTGGCTTTCAGTCTCAATGATTGTTTTCATCATCCCTCCTCGCCTCCCACATAGGTCTGGCCTATACTGACGGAAGGGTGAGTGAATGAATGGATAGAAAGAGAGATGGATGATTGGGTGGGTGAGTGGGAAGATGGATGAGTGGTTGGATGGATAAGTAGTTGGATGGATGGATTGATGGGTGGTTTTAAGAAAAGAAAGATAGATGAATGGATGGATGGATGAGTGGGTGGATGGATAGGTGGGTGAATGGAAGAAAGAAGGGATGAACAGGTGAATGGGTAGAAGAAAAGCTGAATAGATGGATGGGTGGGTGGAAGGATGGATGGGTGGATGGATAGATAGATGGATGGTTGGAAGAAAGGATAAATAGTTGGGTAGATGGATTGGAGTATGGATGTATTCTTAGTTCTCTCCATGTGTTAGCCCACCAAGGCTTCTGCTTTTTTCATCCCATTTTCTGCAAAAACATGGTTAGTGATTATGTGGCCTTTTTCCCATTAACCATGGGGACGACAAAGCACCCTGCTCTGACTCTCTGGCTCATACAGACAGATCTGTCATCCTTCAAGTTTGTGCCCCAGGGAGGGAGGGAGAACAGAATTACAGGGCAGATTATGATCATCCTTCAGCCATCACCTACAAGGCCTGGGAGGAAGAGAGAAGGGGGTCCAACTGCCAGATAAAGCTCTCTGAAGCCTCTGGGTAAGGAGAAGGCAGGCTGAATCCTGAGTGGACATCACCCCCGCTATTGCCTGGAAGCTCTCTCAGTTGCTCCCTCAACCTCTGCCCGAGACAGGGCTGATGTTACCAGGCACTGCGGGATCTAACGCTGGAGCAGGTGACAACAAAGAGATAAACTGTCAAGGGGATGTTGGCACATTAGAGTAGGACCTGCTGAACCAACAGAGTGGGGCAGGATTCTGGCCACCCACCTGCCCCTCAACATCTTTCCCCAGGGCTTCCAAAGAAGGGACTCTCACCTTGGCTAGCATCTCTGCCTGCTGGGGGCTGAGGTCTCCAACGTGGCCGCTCATGGTGCCAGGTGAGGTTCAAGGAGTGGTGGCTACAAGGGGAGGAGGCCAGGTCTAGTCTCTCAGTGCTGATACAGTTGGGGCCTTTTGCCCCCACTCCTGGGTGTGGCTCCAGGCACCTCCTCCTTGGCCTCAACTGTTAAGATTGCACATTACATAACTGGGATTAAGTGAGGTCCCGTGTTTGGCTCTGGGACAGGTTGGGTGACACGGGTTGCTGGAGGGAGTGCCAGAGGAGCCCTGCCAGGTGGAGGGAATGAGGCTGGCCTCCTGTGGCCTGAGCACCAAGGATGAGTGCCTGTAGAACCCTCATCAGCACTGCCAGGCCTCTGGAGGCCACCGCCCTGGAGAAGAGGGGGATCTCAAGAAGAAATGCCGGCTCCCTACTGGCACCCTTTCTCTCTGGGCCTCAGTTTCCCCATCTTACTACTAATGAAGAGACCCCACATCTAGGTTCTCCAAACCACCCACCTGAACCAGCTCTAGCAGTGTACAAACAAGTCTGTGGGCTTGGGTCTACTGGTGAACACTTAATTTATATTATCAGAAGGTTAGGAGGAACTTGTTCTTCTTTAACAAGCATCTACCTTCAAAGAGAGGACAGCGTGGGGGTAGAAAATTTCAGAAAAATGGGCTCAAAAGGTATCCTTGGTGAAAGTTTGTTTTCCATGGAGCAGAAACTACTTTTACTGATGTCTTTCAAATCCTATCCTGCAGAGCTGGCCCTGAGGAGCCCAACATGGGAAAGGCTGAGCACCCTGACCCTACTGTCCTTTCTTGGTCATGAGGTCCTTGCTAAGGTCATGAGGACAGCGAGGGGCTTTATATAGGGCACCTTGTCCTTGACCAGTTAGGGATCATTGCAGTAAGGGAAAGGTGGGGAGTGTTGAGGGCCTTGGGAGGTGAGGATGTTTATTTTTGGTTTCAAATATTTGATCACGAGTCTCTGGCTGGTGCAAACGGTTAAAGACTCAATTGCTAGCTGAAAGGTTGGCAGTTCAAACCAACCCAGTGACACTTCGGAAGACAGGCCTGGTGATCTACTTCTGAAAGGTCATAGCCTTGAAAACCCTATGGAGCAGTTCTACTCTTCACACCTGGGTCCCCAGGAGTTGGAATTGACTCAATGTCAGCTAACAATAACAACAACAAACAGTTGATCAGGTGAGGGGGATTCACTTGGAAGGGAAGGAGTTAAGGGGTCATCTATGTCAGGTGATAAGGGAAGCCCAAAGGGCTCCCCTGTTGTCTTAGTCATCTAGTGCTGCTATAACAGAAATACCACAAGTGGATGGCCTTAACAAGGAGAAATTTATTCTCTCACAGTCCAGTAGGCTATAAGTCCAAATTCAGGGTGTCAGCTCCAGGTGAAGTCTTTCTCTTCTCTGTCGGCTCTGGAGGAAAGTCCGTGTCATCAGTCTTCCCTTGGTCTGGGAGTATCTCATCTCAGGAACCTCAGGTCCAAAGGACATGCTCTTCTCCTGGCACTGCTTTCTTGGTGGTATGAGGTTCCCATGTCTCTCTGCTTGCTTCTCTCTTTTATATCTCAAAAGAGATTGGTTTAAGAAACTACCTAATCTTGTAGACCTCATCAATATAACTGCTGCTAATCCATCTTATTACATCATATTGATAGAGTTTACAACACATGGGGAAATCACATCAGTTGATAAAATGGTAGACAATCATACAATACTGAGAATCATGACCCAGCCAAGTTGACAGATATTTTTGGGGGACACAATTCAATTCATGCCACCTGTCCTTTGATTTCTGTCATGCTGCCTGACATCCTACCATTAGAAGTGCCCTGCTCTCCACTCCTCCCTGAAGCCTCCCTTCAAGATGGAGTCTCAGAGCATCATTACCCCATTTACTCAATGCACCTATCAGCACTTGCCCTGCCCACTTCCTGTGATTGGTGAGAAGAGCTAATGAACACATACAGATGTCAGAAGTTGTGCACATCTAAGGGATTATCCTCTAGTTGTCAGAAGCTCCAGGGGGCATCAATGACCATCTCTGTGGCCTCGGCCTGGGTGCAGGGCCTGACACATGAACACTGGTGCCAGTAATTGATGGTGAAATGAACAAGTGAGGAGGAGGCCTCTGAAGGGTGTTGGCAAAATAAAATGAGAGTGCATCAGCTTGGGACCATAGTGATGGCCACATGGCCACATCTTCCTGAACTTGCAGGGGTCTGCATTGACTGAAACCACTCCTGGGCTAGCCTAGGCCCCAACAGCTGAGTTAGCCTAACCCACTCTGGCCAGGGCTCTCCAGGTCCCCTACTCCTAGGCCATCCTGGATCCTCACCTTTAGGCTATCCTGGGCCTCTATTCCAGGCTATCTCAGGGCCTTTTCGGACTAACTATGGGGCAGCACCCAACACTTTCTTTGCTCTGGGATTCTGGATGGAGTTGGGCCAGAAAGAGAGGCAGGGGCTGTCTTCGGCCATTTCCCTCTGTATGGTGTGATGCCCGTGCCCTCAGGAGAGTTAGGTAACTGCCCTCCCAGTGCTGCCCCACTTCACATTCCAGCTCCATCTCTGCAGACCCTGGCTTCTGTCCACGCACACTTCCTGCCAGGCCTTCTGCGGGCAGGGACTGGGTTCCTCCACTATACTCTCATTAGCCCTAATCCTGCCCATTTCCCACCAGACTCCTTTCTCACCCTAGTCCCTCTAATGCGAGGTACCCTAGTTACTGCTGGAGAAGGCAGAGTTGGCCAGGGAGAACCAGAGCTGTTGGCCTGGCCTTCAGAGACATCCCTCAGCTCTTTCCCTGACCCAGAACATGAAGATGCAAAGACCATCTGCCTTGTGCATTGTTGTCTACAGCACCATCCAGTAGAACTTTCTATGATGATGGAAATGTTCTTCTGTCTCTGGGCTGTCCAGTATGTGGTAGCCACTAGCCACGTGTGAAGTGTGGTTAGTGTGACTGAGGAACTGAAATATTAATTTAATTTTAATTTAAATAGCTCCATATGACTTGTAAGGAGCGCTGGCGGCTCAACAGTTAAATGCTTGGCTGCTAACTGAAATGTAGGCGGTTGAAAACCAGCCAGCTGCTACATGGAGAAAGACCTGGTGATCTGCTCCTGTAAAGATTACAGCCAAGAAAATCCTATGGGGCAGCTCTACTCTGTCACATGGGGTCACTATGAGTTGGAATTAACTCAACAGCACCCAATAAATGTGACTTGTGGCTACTATATAAAATAATGTGTGTCTACTACAATTTACTGAGGGCTTTTTATGTGCCAGGCCCTATCCTAAGTGCATTATCGCATCGAAACATCAGAACACCCCTGTGGGGTAGGTACCATGATTAAACCCATTTTACAGATGAGGAGACTGAGGTATCAAGAAGTTAAGTAATTCAGCCAAGGTTAAGCCCATGTGAATAATAACTCTGCTGTTGTCCTGTCAGGCTAGCACACAATCTCAGCTCCAGGAGACTCCCAGCTAGTCAGGGAGAGGACCCGGACACAAAAGTCACCCCAGTATGATGCAGGTGGCATTTGAGCCAGACATTGAAGGGGAGGATGTTGCTTAGTGGAAATGGAAGTAGAGAGGAGGACATCCCAAGTGTTGGGGATAGCATGGGCAAAGGTGTGGAGGGGAGAATGTAGGGATGAGTGTGGCTGGGCAGGGCTGAGGAATGGAGCAATGAAGGATTTGTGACAGTGGAGCCACACAGATCTGAGAGCAAGTCTCAGGTCCCATTCTGTCTTAGTTATCTAGTGCTGCTGTAACAGAAATACCACAAATGGATGGCTTTAACAAAGAGAAATTTATTCTCTAACAGTTTAGGAGGCTAGAAGTCCAAATTCAGGGTGCCAGCCATAGGGGAAGCTTTTCTCTCTCTGTTGGTTCTGGGTGAAGGTCCTTGTCATCAATCTTCCTCTGATCTAGGAGCTTCTTAGCATAGGAGCCCCAGGTCCAAAGGATGCACTCTGCTCCTGGTGCTGCTTTCTTGGTGGTATGATGTCCCCGTCTCTCTGCTTGCTTCTCTTTTATATCTCAAAAGATGTTGATTTAAGACACGACCTAACCTTGTAGATTGAGTTCTGTCCTCATTAACATAACTGCCTCTAATCCTGCCTCGTTAACATCTTAGAGGTAGGATTTACAACACAAAGGAAAATCATGTCAGATGACAAAATGGTGGACAATCACACAATACTGGGAATCATGGCCTAGTCAAGTTGACATACATTTTTGGGGGACACAATTCAATCCATAACACCTACTCATTCTCTAACCTTGTGCAAGGTAACAGTTTAGCTCCTCCGTGCCTCAGTCTCCCCCAGCTGTAAAATGGGGCTAATTAAATTCACAACCATTCAAGATGCTGTAAGAGTA